AAAGAAAGAAAGAAAGAAAGAAAGAAAGAAAGAAAGAAAGAAAGAAAGAAAGAAGAAAAGCAGAGTAATTCTAGGAATGTGCCACCGTTTCTGGCTTTGCCACTCCTTTTCTAGATAATTTCTCCCCTACACACAGGGCTCAAACATTCTATGCCTCCCTGGTGGAATTCTGTAGTTAAAGAACTAAGGACTTATTATGACATGTCTTAGTAAAGACAAAATAAGAAACCAAGTGGACGGGATAGGACACCAGAAAATGGGGCAACAGGCCAAAGACCAAAAGGCTAAAAGAAAATAAAGTAGGGAGAAGGGTAGTATTAACAAAATAAAGTGAGGCACATATAGCAAGTTGGCTCAGGGGACTTTGAATCTGGGGAGAGGAAGAAATGCACGTCCATGAACACGTACAACACGCAACACACACACAGAGCAGAATGGAAACAGGTCTGTGCCTCACGGCTGGCCTTTATGCACCAGCATGGGTTAGGCTGGCATTGGTCAGCCAAGTTTAAAGGAATAGAAAATACAAAACAAAATAATCTCATCCTACTGACAACCAGCGCTGAGTAAGCCTTGTCTGGAAACCTCTTTTAAGCATAATTGCAAACTTCTGGGAACTTGAATGGAGAATATGGGGGTGGAACAGACAGAATTTTCTGTCAAAGATCTGATGTTTGTGCAACACACATTTCTCCAGGCACTCTTAATTTGGCGGTCCGCTTGGAAAGCAGTGACGGTGGCAGCCCCCATTTCCCCTCCACCCCACCCTCACCCCCGCCGCCAGGATGCACAGCCACCTTAGGTCCCTTCTCTGTCTCCCAAGGATCATGAGGACAGGGGGGCCTCACACGCACCTGAGAAGCTTTTCACTGCCTCTCTTCACTAACCACTTCTGGTGTGTAGCCACTTCTCTGTGCAAGTGTGGAGAGGGCTTCCTCCCACCTGTTCCATAGTCTAGCCACAAGAAAGACTGACGCTGGGCTCTGTTTCCTTGGGTGCCCCTAACGGCACAGGGCTTTCATTCAACTTTGTTTTTCACTTAACCTAAAAAACAACCGAAGCGATGTGACTTCATAATGTGCCACACTTCGAAATCCTCTCTTCTTACTTTGGGCAGGTAATGCCCTCCCCCCACCCCTATAGTAGTAAGTAGTTACAGCATGGCCTTGAACAAGTTACCCCGCGCCTATAGTGTTTACTTTTTCCATGGGTATTATGGGAAGAAAAGTACCAACCTTTCAGATGTGGTGAGGGTTAAATAAGATAATTCTTACAAGGTCATTGAGTGGATTTTTTTTCTGCTGTCTCTCTGTCTCTGTCTCTCTCTGTATCTGCCTCTCTCTGTGTCTCTCTTCCTCTCTCTCTGCCATGACAGGCTTGGCATCTAGACACAGGCCTGGTCTCAGGTGCGGAGTAGGCACTCTGTGAAGGCATAGCCTGATTCAGTGGGTGACCCTTTGTTCTCTTGGAGTTCAGCCTTCTTTGTTTCCTATGTCACTGACTCCAGTTTCTAGTTTTCCCTCAGAGGAGGGAGTGAAATCAGGAGATAAGAAAGAGGGGCAAGACTATGGTGGGACAGGCGATACCAGCGGCTTAAGGTAGAATTCTACAATTAAGGTAGAATTCTGGTATTCTTGTTTTAATATTGCCTAATAGGATTTCAAACCAATGAGAATGTTTAATATTTCTAACATGAGAAGAAATTTGGTTGCCTTGCTCTACTTAATGAGAACCGCTCTAAAACACGGTGCCTTAAATTTGTTTTAATTCCTCATGGTTATATGGGTTGATCCATGGGTCTACAGTCCTGTAGGTCTCACTTGGATTTCTTACATGGCAGTATTCAGATGGTTTCATTCATGTTTTGGACTCTTATTAGAGATGTCTGGAAAACTAGGCAAAGCTGGCGTGACTGCCAAGGCTAGACCTTGTCCTATCACCTTGCAGTCCCAGGGCCTCTCTCTGTACTTGATGGAACTCAAAGGATGGTTGGGGGCTCTGAAAAGCACAAAAGTAGGAGCTTCTAGGCCTCCCTGAGGCTTAGTCTGTGACCAGGCGTGATATCTCTGTAGCCATACTGTATTGTTTTTATTGAGCAAGTGTCTAGTTATACAGCCCGGGCTGACCTTGAACTCATGATCCTTCTCAGCCTCCCAGGCTCTGAGACTGCAGGTTTGTGCCACCATATGTGGCCTATTCTATTTCTAAAAAACAAACAAAAAAAAGGTGGCCCTGATTCAAAGCAAGGGGATTCCTTATGTGCCAGGAGGTGAGGTCCACTGGAATGGAGTCAAGTTGAGGGCACTAATGTAATGGACTTCCATCAGAAATATTAGGTTCGGTTTTAGCCTTAGTTTCTACATTTAGTAAGTATATATCAGCATTTATCTGCCTTCTATCGCAGGACATTTTTTTCCTATATAAGGGACTATCTCCGGAAAGCATTTTATGAGAGGTTCGGGGGTCATAGCCCACAGGACACGTCATACTCAACACACCAGTTTGCAGCTTTTTAAATGACAAATTATTTATTGGGGGGCACACTCGACAGCAATGCATGTGGAAGTCAGAGGGCAGCTTGCTGGAGTTGATTCTCTCCTGTTTGGCTCCCTGGGATCAAACTCTTGGTTATCGGATTTAGTGACAAGCTCTCTTACCCCCTGAACCATCTCATTAGCTTGGTCTCTTATTTTCATCTCCATTATTCTGTGTACGCGTAGCCACACATGGACACAAACCACATTCTTGTCAGTTTTGGTAGCTGCATGACATTCCACCATATTCATGTAGGTGTTGGTCCATCATTTGGGCTTCAAAAAAAAAGAAAATAAGCCAATACTAATCTTTATTAGTGGTGTACAGTACAATAGTAATGTGTACTAACTATCTTCAAAACTGAAAACAAACAGGATTTTCAGTGCTAAGAATTAACTCACTTGCCTTGCACACGGTGTTCTATCTCAGTGGCAGAAAGGAAACTAATCCAGTGTGCGTGTGTGTAAGTGTGTGTGTAAGTGTGTATGTATGTAGTGTGTGTGTGTGTGTGTGTGTGTGTGTGTAGGTAAGAGGATAGCCTTTGAGAATTAGTTCTCTCCTTCTACCTAGTCAAGGCAGGGTCTCCCTCGTTATTTCTACTGTATTGTGTACTCCAAGCTTGCTGGCCTGTGAGCCTTGGGTATTCTCATGTTTCTGCCTTCCGTCTTGATAGAGGATTATGGGGCTTACAGGTGCTCACCACATCAAGCTTTTTAAATGTGGATCCTGGTATTGAACTCAGGTCGTTGGGCTTCTGCAGCATCTGAGTTTCATTTCCTGTTGCTGTGATAAATCACCTTGACAACAGCAACTTAGAGGAAGAAAGGTTCATTTTAGTTCACAGTTCCAGGTTACAGTCCGTCGCCTTCAAACTTAACCCCATTCTGTTTAAGAAGCAGGAAGCAGCCGGGCTGTGGTGGCGCATGCCTTTAATCCCAGCCGTCAGGAGGCAGAGGCAGGTGGATCTCTGTAAATTCGAGACTAGCCTGGTCTACAAGAGCTAGCTCCAGGACAGGCTCGAAATCTACAGAGAAACCCTGTCTCGAAAGAAAAAGAAACAGGAAGCATGCAGACAGATTCTTGGCCAAAAAATATCATGAATGTCTTTAATTCCAGTGCTTGGGAACTAGAGGCAGTTCTGGGAGCCCGAAGCCAGCCTGATTTGCTATTGAGTTCCAGGCCAGCCAAGACCACATAATGAGACCCTGTCTCAAAAAGAAAAAAAAAGTGAATGGCCCTAGCCCTGTTTCCAACAAAGTCCATGTTCCTTGCTGAAATCTCATGAGCCAGACCTCTACTGTTCACATTTCTTTCAGCATTACTGTCGTCTAAGTTCCCACTAGAATAACCCATTGAGCTATACTTCCAACATTCAGTAGATTTTCAAGCCCAGAGTTTCAAACTCTTTCCTATTCCTCCCACAAAATAGTTCCAAAGGCTCGAAAGCCACACAATTGTAGTAACGACCCCACTCCTGGTAATAATTTTTGACTTAGTTTCATTGCCTGTTGTTACAATCAAGTAGCCAGACAAATTTGGCTTAGGGGAGAAAAGGTTTATGTTACAGTTCTACTTTACAATCTATCTTTGAGAAGTCATGACATCAAGATGGAACAACGGGATACACTGTATCCACCATATTCAGGAAGCAGAGAGGAATGAATTAATGCATCCCTGTTAGTTCTTAGCTTATTTCAAGACCCCCTGCCTAAGAAATGACGCTATGAACAGTGGGAAGGTCTTCTTGCTTTAATTAATATAATCGAGATAATCTCCCATATACATGCTCACAGGCCAACCTGGTCCACACAATCCCTCACTCTCTTCCCAGGTGATCTGGATTAGAACAATTTGACAATTAAAACTAAGCATCACACATTGACATGTGCTCTTATCCACTGACGGAGCCATCTTGCTGACCAACAACATGCCCTAAAGTAGCACCAGCTAATATGATGTTTTAAGTGTAGCAAACTTTGGTTTAACTACTCAAGATAGAACTATTTTCCAAGGAACTTGGTTGAAAGGAATATAAGCAAAGGAACACACACACACACACACACACACACACACGAAAGTCATGATGTGGTTGTGAGCTGCTGAGTTAGTCTAGACCAATCCTGTCATGTGGGAGGATATTAAATCAAGGCTCACTGGAGTGACGGATTATGACAGCGTTGGACTTTTGAGGTTAGATAATAAGGTCTATCATAGGTTCTGCCAAGGCCTCTTTGTGAAAGCCAGATGCTAGGGGAACCAGGGCCTCCTCCATAGAGACCATGTGAAGAGAGAAGAAGGCCTT